TATAGTATTCCTATAATACAATTATACAAGATACAAGATATTTTTACCTGTATTGCCCAAAACAAATTTCCCTTAAAAGGGACAAATAAAGTATATATGATGATGACGACGATGATGGTATGAATACAGTATAGGAAGATATAGTATGCGAGTCATATGCAGTACTTTTATAGTGCCTTTTTCCTTTGTTTTGGAGTCTGACAGATGGTGGTCACTAATTTCATTGTATGAAGTTTAAGAGTCAACATGTTAAACTTCTATTATGTTCCAATTTAGAAAGTCAGTCATACAGTTTAGGAACAACATGAGGGGGAGTAAATGATGACAATTTTTATTTTTTGGTTGAGCTTAAAAAAGAATAATCACATGATACACTACTGTTCAAAAGTTTGGGGTCGGTAAAATTTTTTTTTTTTATATCTTAAAAGAAGTCTCTTATACTCACCAAGGCTGCAATTATTGGATCTAAAACACAAAATATTATTACAATTCGAAACAACCGTTTTGCATTTCAATATATTCGACATTACTCCAGTCTTCAGTGTCACATGATCCTTTAGAAAACATTTTAATAAGCTGATTTTATGCTTAAACATTTCTTATTAATAAATGTCGGAAACAGTGTTTTTGTGGAAACCATTTTTTTCTGGATTTTAATGAACTGAAAGTTGAAAGAACAGCATTTATTTGAAATAGAAATCTTTTGCAACGTTATAAATGTTCATAATGTTGTGTTTGATCAATTTAAAGGGGTCATATGATGCGATTTCAATTTTTCCTTTCTCTTTGGAGTGTTACAAGCTCTTGGTGCATAAAGAAGATCTGTAAAGTTGCAAACACTAAAAAGTCTCAAAACCAAAGAGATATTCTTTATAAAAGTTAAGAGTCAGCCACGCCTACCTAAAACGGCTCGTTCTAACACGCCCCCACATACCTACGTCACGATCTGGGAAAATTTGCATAACGCCGCCCAAATGTTCACACAAAGAAAGAAGGCGTAACTTTTATTCTCGCTGTAGTATTGTTGACGCTGCAGCCATGTCCTGAAGATGCTGTGTGCTTCGTTGTGAAAGCGAAACTACATCAACTTTCACCATGGACAAAGCGGAGTCCAGCCCGGGGTCGTCACATGTGGTTCTCATTCGTCGCATCCGCCGGGCGCGCCGTTCTCGACCCCGCCTCCTCAGCTCACTCTAGCCTGGCCTCAGCTCACGCTAAGCCGGGACTTCCGCTCACGCTAGCCCGGCCTCAGCTTACTCTAGCTCGGCCTCAGCTCACTTTATCCCGGCCTCAGCGCACGCTAAGCCGGGGCTTCCCCTCATGCTAGGCCGCTGTGATTTTCGTTGCCACTGATGATTCAAACGTGAGTTTTGGGCAGTAGAGTAGCACTTGTTGTTTGTCATTTCTCCGATCACAAATGCAGACAGAGTTTTATGTTTACGCGGCGCGATGCAACGCAACTCGTAAAAAGACAGTATAAGTCATTATAATCAGTAATTATGTCCCCACTGGATGCAACAAATGCCTCGTTTGTAATGGGTTTTAATGTTTATGTCTCGTCGCTCCGGCCGGACACGGCATCAACAGTATGGTGAGGGGCGTAACATTTCCGTCACACGCTTGAGGTATTCGGCCAATCACAACGCACTGAATAGCTAGCCAATCACAGCACACCTCGCTTTTTCAGACCGATGAGCTTTGTAAAAATCGACGCGTTTCAAAAAGGCGGGGCATAGAGGAGAAACAATAATGTACAGTATGTGGAAAATAATGTGGTTTTTTTACTTTAAATCGCCTAAACACATTTCATCACACCAAATACACAAAATAATGTTCTTTTTAACAGCATCATATGACCCCTTTAAGGGAACATTCTCCAAATCTAAAGGGAACATTTTATTTACATACATAAACTTTTTTTTGGCTAACCAACAAAATGTCTGCTCTAGGTACCAAAAATTATTACCTGGAAAGAAAAACCAATAGCTTAAAAACAGAGACGCGTTAACACATTTAGTTTGACAGTTTGTCATATTACAGATACTTACCCAAAATGACTTGTGTTCCATGGACGATGTCTTTCCTCCACTGATCAATGACAAACGTAACATTTCCGTCACATGCTTGAGGTATTCGGCCAATCACAACGCACTGAATAGCTGGCCAATCACAGCACACCTCGCTTTTTCAGAACGATGAGCTTTGTAAAAATCGACGCGTTTCAGAAAGGCGGGGCATAGAGGAGAAACAATAATGTACAGTATGTGGAAAATAATGTGTTTTTTTAACTTTAAACCGCATAAACACATTTCATTACACCAAATACACAACATAATGTTCTTTTTAGCAGCATCATATGACCCCTTTAATGCATCCTTGCCAAATAAAAGTTATTTAAAAAAAAATCTTACTGACCCCAAACTTTTGAACTGTAGAGTATATTCTTGATAAATGAAATATGCATGTGTGGGCACATTTATCAGACTTCCCTCACATGCAAAGTGGTTTGGATCCATACCTCTACACGTTCGCCCGTTCAATGACAGAGCATTCTTTGTCCATCTGTGTTTCACGTCTGGCTTCACTCTCAAAAACACATTTGCACTCCTGACAAACTCCTAAGACTATCTGGGTCACATTCACATCAGCTGAAAGGTTTCTTTTCTGCCCTTGACCAGCGTGAGTCATTCGTTGCGTGATTAGCAAACACAAAACTTGCATGAGCCACGGGGAATGCCTAATTGATGAAATTAGTCCAGATGTTGTTCTCAAAAGAAGCCTGATATCACAGTACCTGTGATTCATGTAGATTCCTTATGATGGAAGCCTGGGAAATAAAACTATAAATCTCTCCAAATGAGACACTTACCGGAGGAGGTTTGGCTACCACGCAGCAGCCGATCTTATGCCAGAACGCACTCATCTCCGGCATGCACCGGTTGGGTTCCCTCCTCTCTCTCGCCACCTTGCAGGCCGTTTAGAGACAAGATAGAGAGAGAATCTAATCCTCAACACTCAGCGATATAAGCCGTGGCTCGTCCAAAAACCTCCGTCCTGATCACTGACAGAATCCTTGTTGATGTCTCTGCTTTAAGTATATATACACAAGACCCCTTATTCCCGCAGTTATTCTGGGCCCCTGATTTCCAGTTGAATCTGTGGGACTGTGGGATTTATACGAGGCAGAGCTGTTACAGACGAATCTGTTCAATGAAAGAAAGAAAAAAAATTTTTTTATTTGTAATGAAGTAGACCTGAATCCATCATACCAAGCACACCATATATTATACATTTAACATGCTGCAAACAAAACAGTAAGTGACATTGATTATGAATGATGCAAATCTTAAATTAAAGAAAAGGAATACCATCTTGTAACTTCTTTCTTTGGAACTGAGATATACAATATGGAACTGAACAATTACATGATAGTACTCCAATTAACTTCAAAAACAGCTTGTAATGAAGAAGTACTACATATTACCATATACATCATATTGTAATACCATGGTACTTTGAAATTAACAATTGTGCTGAATGATTAAAATATTCATGTTGGTATTAATATGGTGCCCCAATTAAAATCAATGAATAGCATGGTATTACAGTGGTATATCGAAAAACGAAGTACTAACATGGCAGTTTTTAATAAATAAAAAATATTAACAGAAACTAATTTTTGTGGCAGTGTTCAACTTTGAGTTGAACTCCCTAACTAGACAGTATGGCTCTTTATGCTGTCTAGGAAGGCAGTTCACTTGTTTGAGACAGCCGCTTTCTTGGGCATTGAATTCACTTTATAGTGCCGTTACAACTACAGGAAAATCAGTGTAATAACAAACCCGTTACAATGACGACTACTCAAACACACCTAGAATGGATTCGGTAAACAAGTAAACATGGATTACAAACGTTACAAAGAAACAAGTCACTCAGCCGAAAGCAGAAAAAAACAAACAGGAAAACAATAAAACAGTGTGTAAACGTTTAAAAAAAAAAAAAAGTTTTTTCCCTCTCCTCAACTAGTTTGAACTCGCAGCACTTCGATGAATAAGTTGTCCGAGAGTCATCCGACTGAAGTTAACTAGACTATCAGCGTCCATCGCTTATCTTTATCGTCTTTATTACTCAAGCACACAGGCGCTGGTCCTATTCAAACTCAACTACAACTGAAAGTTTGGCACAACAAACCGGCTCGACCGATCCCGGGCCATGTTAGCGGCTCAAATGAATTAATAAAGTTCAATCGATTCTCGGAAAAGTTATTTTATTTTCTAGCATAAATTAAAATAGAAAGAAAAACTTTACCTTTGATGAAAACGAGAGCCCCAGTGAGCGGCTGGAGTGAAGTAACTCTTGTGTGGAGAGCTGAGGGTGGAAGTGACTCTGTGTTTCCCAGATCACTGAGGTGTGGTTGAAGTTTCCCCATTAATATGAGGAAATACTTCATTCCAGAGACCAGCAGCGCCACCAACGGGCTACAGATATAGACTATATCAGGGTTCCTCAAATCTTGCCCTGGAGGGCCAATGCGCTGCAGAGTTTAGCTCCAATCCTGATCAAACTCACCTACCTGTGATTTTCTAATGATCCTGAAGACATTGATTAGCATGCTCAGGTGTGTTTGATTAGGGTTAGAGCTAAACTCTGCAGGAAAGTGGATCTCGTGGGCCAGATTTGAGAATCCCGGGACTATATATTTGATGGATTTACAATAAAAAGTCTTATATGATTTTAATCTTGAACTTTGGGGAATTTTGCAATCTCAGCAGTCCTATCCTAAATAAAATAATAAAATAACAAGTTAGAGGAAATGTATTTGCATAAACCTCTTCGTTTTCAAAAGCAGAGAATGGATGAGCTAGCCAATACATTTTTCGTCTGGTGTCAGGATCTCGTCATATGTACTGGTTATGCAGTAGGGGGCGCTACAAACGCCTCAACTTTAAAAACACTACCAAAGAAGAACCAATCAAATATTTCTACTTCCGGTACCGTTCGTTCGCCATCTTTGACGACAAATAGCCCATCTATGTTATTTTGTTTTCAAAAAGTATCGAAAAGTATGAAAGAACACTAAATCGCATTAAATAACCGAAGCATATGACTGGTTTTTACCGTATCTAGCGTGTTATAATACAGTAAAAGTCTTCGGGAAACATTTTTGGCGAGGTGAGCACCAGAGGTTTTGCTTTATTCTGTTTACTAGCAACTGACTGCAGGAGTTTGATGTAACGTTACTGTCATAAAAAGATATTTTAATTACATATTTGATATGGTATTGGCGATATAGTAACTGCAGACGAATACATGACAATACGAGGACTTGTTTTAAGACTTTAAAAAGTTAAGCGCAACTTGCTCAAACTTCTTGTCATGTTAAATTTGCACTTTTAGTCATATGTTCTCTACTTGTAAGATTATTAGCCTGCTCATAAAAATAGTTTGAAATATATACTATATGTATTACGAAAATCTCGTTAAAAATAACCAATAAGGTTACGATATTAATTATGTTTCTTATGATATAGAAATCAAACCGTTTTTTAAACAGTAACACTATATAATTGACAGTAAACCTGACTGAAAGTTTGTGAAAATGTCCGTCCAGCCACACGGTAATATTGTCAACAAAAGCATGGAACCAACTTCCCCCGGAACTTGCCTTATTATAAAATGATGACTATTTCCCGTTCTGTCATTGATAATGTCGAAGATTAATGTACACATCCGCTTCCTGGCACTTAAAAACACTTGATCCTTATGGAATAAAGTCTTATGACTAATATAACCACAGTGTCATACACTATACAGTTTGTATATATGGAAACCATCTTTTGAACATTTTCTTTGAAAAACTGCACCTGGTTAAACACCTCATGGTTGTAAACGTGGTTGTCAAGAAATAAAGCAACATTTCACTATCAACTATATTCTGATGCTTCAAACCTTATTTGTATGATTAGATGTCGCTTGTGGATTTGGGAAAGCGTTTGTTGGAGGCAGCACGCAAAGGACAGGATGATGAAGTGAGGTCACTTATGGCCAATGGAGCTCCTTTTACTACAGACTGGGTGAGTTGTATTTGCTGCTCAATGCTTATTGTCGGCAATTTATAATCTGCATTTTACTATAACATGACGATGGTAATATGTTTTAGCTGGGAACCTCACCACTTCATTTAGCTGCACAATACGGGCACTACTCCACCGCTGAAGTGCTTCTCCGTGCCGGCGTGAGTAGAGATGCCCGCACTAAAGTCGATCGAACCCCCCTCCACATGGCTGCGGCAGAGGGCCACTCAAGCATTGTTGAATTGTTGGTCAAGGTAATAACTGATGAAAGCAGAACAGCATGAGTTTTTTTTTAGATTTTGACATTGACTTTTTAGTTGAGATATAATATCTGTTATATCTGGGACAGAGTGGAGCAGACATCAATGCCAAAGACATGCTGAAAATGACCGCCCTGCACTGGGCTGCGGAACATGGGCACAGGGGAGTCGTGGAGCTGTTGATCAAAAACGGCGCTGATACTCACGCCCTCAGCAAGTTTGACAAGACACCTTTTAACATTGCAGTGGACCGAGGAAACACTGAGCTGATGCTATTGTTACAGGTAAAAATGAGATTGCATTTTAATGACGTGTTGATTATCATTGTCATCATATCATTGTCAAAACATAATGTAAAATTCACCGTTGTGTATTTAAAATCGTTTATAGGCCAAATCAAGGCTGCAGTCTCATAACTTGATGGTTTGTTTGTTATTCTAGGAGGGAATGCAGAACCAAGTGAACATGAATCCAGAGAGGACTATCCTAAGCAGCACGTCACCCGCCACCGCCAGCCCTCAGTTCATCATCTCCTCCTCTGGAGTGGTCAATCTCTCTGATATTGTTCTCACTAATGCTAAGGCTAACACAGGTATGAGTTTCATTATATTTTGTGTCCATGCTTGTCAGTAATGAGTAAATGGCAAAATTATCTGAGATGAAATTCTGTTTTACATAGTTTTAATTGAAAAAAAATATGTTTTTGTCTCTATGATAATGGCTGTGGCAACCTGTTCTCTCCACCTGCCTTGTCAAAAATCATATAAATCATAATTTCTTTGCCTTAGTATATTTAATTTGTTGGCTTAATGCAAGGAGTTTTTTCCACTTACACAATCCATTCAGAAGACTGGGGTCAGTAAGAAATTTTGAAAGGAATTATAATTTTTTTTTAAACAAGGACACTTTACATTGATTATAACTGACATTAAAGACATTTATAATGTTACAATTTTTTTTAAACTTTCTATTCATTAAGCAATCCTTTAAAAAGTATCACAGTTTACACAAAAATATTAAGCAGCACAACTGTTTTCAACACTGATTATAATAACAGATATTTCTTGAGCACAAGATCAGCATATTAGAAAAGTTTCTGAAAGATTGTGACACTGAAGACTAAAAGACTCAAAGAAAAGAATTGCTGAAAATTCAGCTTTGCCATCATAGGAATGAACTTTAAATATATAAAAATAAAGAATTTAGAAATAAAATATATTAAAATAGAAAAGCTATTTTTAATTGTAATATTATTTCACAATAATACAGGTTTTTTTAATAAGAGACTAATTTCAACAACATTAACGATACATAAAGAACATTAAACTTTTGCCACATGATTAACAACAACAACAAAACAAACACTTTAGGCATTCTTTGTAAACCTGTTGATTTTTGTGGGTACAACTTAGACAAGGCATGAAGTGCAACGTTTCTTTAGCAGGTTTGTGTGACTTTGATTTGAATTACGCTTTACATTCAAATCAGTTATGAATTATGAATCACAACTCTTAACAAGTACCAGCCAACTGGCATTTATTTGATCACTAAAGCCAATTTTTCTTGCATTTTGTGCTTGTTGAATGTTCATTTTGACATTGACATTTTGCAGCAGTATTTAATTAACCAGTTTTATTTTATGTAATGTTTTATTTGAACTGAATGCACATAGAAAATGTGTATTATATGTAATATTTGTGTATTTCTCCTTTGCAAACAAACTGCTGCTATATCCCAGCAGGAGCTGCAGAGAGTGTGATTGCTGCTGATTCGGTAGATTCTGCCATCCAGCATCTTGTAGCGGAAGATGGCCAGAGAGTCATCACCATAGTAACCGACCAACAGGGCAACCTGGGACAGAAATTCTTTGTCACAATGCAGGGGCAGCAAAGTGAGTAGATTGCTAGTTTATAGTTTACAGACTTTGATGCAGTATTTATATTCTAACATGCCTGTATATATTTAGTGGTTGCAGTGCCAGCGGGTCAGATTGCAGAAGAAATCATAACAGAGGACACAAAACCAGTTCCAACACGGAAGCGGAAATTTGAATTAACCGTCAACCATGCAGATGTCAAACACAAGGTCTGACGAGCAGAGATTCCCATTTAAATCTTACTTTTTGGAATGCTAAATCAATTTGAAAGTAAACTGTTTGGGGTTTTCTATAGGAGCCCACTGAGAAGGACAGTCGGGAACTACTGGAACAGCAACTAAAGGAAGCAAACAGAAAAGCCCAGGAGTACAGACAGCAGTTACTACGAAAGGAACAGGAAGCTGAGCAGTACAGGCTTAAACTAGAGGCCATTGCAAACGGGCAGACCAATGGCTCCAGCACAGAGCCCCAAGAGGAAGTGGTGCTTCAGGAAGAGGAAGAGGAAGAGGAGGAGGTGGTTGGCGAAGAGGAAGTTGTCATGTTGCCAGAAGGGGCCATCATCATTAAAGAGGAGCCCCTTGACTCAACGACAGGAGAAACAGTAACATTAGTAGAAGCCGCAGATATCACAGCCACCTCCGAGGGCACGCCGTAGCAGTGAACCCAAAAGACTCAAACACTCAGGAATTACATACTCTGTGTGCCTGGAGTGTGACATTGTGTTTATTTATTGTAAATCATAACTTTTTGTTTTTATCCTTTTTTTACTCATAGCATTCAGTTTCTGTACAAACCTCAACAAAGATGTAGCATGAGTTATATTTAGGTGGCCACAACGATGCTGAGCTGCTCAGATTGACAGAATTGGAAGACTAGGCGTGTCTTTTTAACATACAGCAGTGCAAGCTATGGAAGATTTAGTGATAATGCTTTTCAATCAAGCCCCGTTATGCACCTCGAATGCATACTATACAGTTAGTATGCACCATAGTGTACTTAAAGGAACGTTCTGGGTTCAATATACATCATTTATTTATTTTTTTTAAAGTGCAAGTTGTGGTTATAGTAATGCACTTTCGATAAAAATAAACTGGGACAGTGTTCTGGTGAAGCTGATATTTTTGTTAAATCACCTGCATTAATGAATTGGTAAGAAATTTATTATTTGAGATGCAAAATCTGCCTTTTTAAAAGATTTTCAGAGTCAGTGAACCTTGAAAATGTTGTGCAAAAATTTCTGGGTTTACTAGCTGAATGTTTCTTGCCTGGTTCAATGTTGTGCCGTATTATAACCACGGTTTTTGTTTCTTTAAAAAAACAACAACAACTGAAGGTCGTCAAAATTGTAATTGCAAATGCTGTCAATAGAGCTTAACTTGAACTTAGAACATTCCTAAAATAGTGACATAACATTTAGAATGAAGGTTAACAGTATATCATATAAAGAACAATACTAGACATTATTCATCTTTGTGTAACATTGACCTGCTCCTGCAGTGTGAGGCATGTCTTATTGATGCAATCGGCATCTGGTGGTGTGATAATCAAAGTAGCTATGTATTTACGTAGAAAACAGACTCTTTCATGTATTATAATACTTTTAGCTGTTTATAAAGATAATTTACTCCATTCAGAGTACAAGAATGAGCAATGGTTGTTTCACTTTTTTCTTCTTTTGTTCTGTTAGACACTGAATCACGATTTGCATTTCAATGTTTTGTGCTCTAAAAAGCATGCAACATGTCTTTGCTTGCATTTCACGGTCTGGTCCATGTGCCTGTTTTGACTTTCCCTGTACAATTTCCCAGCTGCTTTGTTTATAGATGTTAACAGCTTTTACAGTCAGTCCTTGAGTGAAGTTATATCATCAGCTGTGTTCAGTCGTTGTATGTCAAGTTTAAAATGTGAACGAAATTTAATGGAACGAGACCTCAAGTGTTCTAAAGCTTATCTTTGCATAGAACAAAATGTTTTGCATTATCTATGACATGTTTTCCAGGTACACAGCTGATGATTAACATTCCATGAACTGAATTTCAAGGGCTTGCATTACCATTGCTGTGCAAAACTTATTTGAAAATGTACAGTTTTCTTCCATCTAAATCCAAGAATATTAAGATTTTTGGAGGACATTATACTATTTATTTTATGGGTGATTCATGTGGTCAAGACAATGTTTTCCCCTTATATTTTTCTCAGTTTTTATGTATTTAGAATTTCTGTTGTATAAGATGTCATCAGCAGTGCTTTATAGGTAAAAACATTGATAATCTGTTGAAATTAGTTTTAGGCCTAAAGCAAGTTATGGTTACACTTTTGTTGTAAAGTTTAACAGGCAGAATTACTTGTTCTATTTCAGTGTGTTGAAAGCAAATGCTTAGAGTTCTAACTAAAAGCAGGCCCAAGCACACGTTATGTATCGTGAAAGATCAACAGTTTGTCCCTGAGTTTTCTTGTTTGTATATATATTTTTTTACATATATTTTTATAACGAAACACTATCTGGGCCTGTCTGTGGTGCACGTGCAGCGTTTTTATCTCTGGTCAAAATAAATATTTTTTAAGGTTGGGTATATCTACCAGTTTTTTAAAGGATAAATAAAAAATATTTTTAAATATTTTTTTCACTGATTTAAGAAAAAAAAAAAATCCTCTCTACCAAAACGCGTTTTCGGAAAGATTGTCTTTATGCGGTTTCCGTACCCACGTTGACTAGCATAACAGGCAAGCGTGAAATATTTATTTGTATATATTTTAATAGAAAATGATGTAACTGCAGACGGTGCAGGTACGTTATTATTATTTTAATGTTCTCTTCGTATTTTCGATACTTTGAATACTTAGGCAACGCTAATATTAATTTAGCATGCTAACTGCGCTACATATACACAGGAATGTATGCATTTTAAATGCTTTGCTTTCATTTACAGTGGTGTTTTTCTGAACAGCATGAGAAATACTGAAGAAGATCTGGAGAAATAGAGGGGAGACAGCAGCATATCCTGCTCAACTGTAGTAAAGTTAATCTCTATCTCACAAACATGTTTCCAGAATTGAACAGTATTCTCAATTCCACTCCAGACAGTTTCAAATCGGTAATTACATCCCTTTACAAGCTTGGTGTAACTTACTAGATGTCATAGAGTCTAACCGATGTTTTCTGTACTTGTAGAGTGACTTTATCCTAGTGTCAGACAGACGAGCTAATGCATCATTCCTTATTCAACACTATTTGGCTTTCTATTTACGTGGTAAGTGACCTGTTGTTTATAGTGAGGAGATATATATATATATATATATATCATTTTTCTAAACTTGGATATTTCCAGCTGGCTGTAAGGTGTGTTTTCTGGGTCTTGTGCAGTCCTTCAGTCACTACAGTGCTGTCGGTCAGAGGCTGGTATGTTTACATCAACTTGCTCTATTTAGACAGTTTTTTTTTTTTATTAGACATTTTATTGATGACATTTATATTTCTTGATCGTAATGTTTTTGTGCAGGGAGTGAGTCTGGCACAGGCAAGAGAGAAGGGTCAGCTCGTGTTTCTTGAAGGACTGAAGGATTCTATTGGAGTTTTATTACAGGAGGACACCAGTCATGAGACACAACCTTTGAGTTATCTCAGGCACGTATAGTATGTTATGAAAATATAGTTTACATACATTTTATCTCTATTTCTCCTCCTTATAATGTTATGAAAGATATATAAGGAACAAAATGTGCTTTGCCATTTTTTTGTTTGTTTGCTTCGTTTTTCTAGGTCCCCAGGTGCTGGACTGGAAGGTCTGTTCAGATTTGTGGAACGTTCTATGCGTCAGAGTGGAGATGGTGATGCTGGTGAATCATGGGGTCCTCCAGTGTTACTCATAGATGATCTCAGTGTGCTCCTGAGTTTAGGTGTTAGTGTTGGAGCAATACTAGACTTTACCCTCTACTGCCAAGCCACCATGTGCTCTGAGTTGCAGGTGAGTCAGTGTTTTTGCGTCAGTGCCTGAAATAATGCCAGATGCAGTTGGTTTCACACTGTATTATGATATATTAACTATAAATGTCTGTTGATATCCAGGGAAATATGGTAATTCTGGTGAGATGTGAGGAGGAGGATGCAGATGATGATGATGATGAAGAGGGATCAAACCTGCTTCAGAGGGGACTAGTTCATCAGTGTAACTTGGCTTTACATGTAGAGGGGTTACCCACGGGCTACTGCAGGGACATACATGGACAGGTGCAATTTCATGTTTAAGTTTACGCTTACTCTGTAATAAATGGCTCTGAATTAAGTTGACATTTTTGGGGGGTTTTTTTAGATGGAGGTTTGGTGGAGACAGAGAGGAGAGACCATCTACAACCAACGAAAAATATTTCACTTTAAAGTTCACGATAAAGGAGCATCGTTTTTTGCTCGAGGGACTTCTAGTGCTGTTCTCTAAGTTTTCAAATGAATATATAAGTTTTCACATTGAATCTCTTACTGAACTAATGTCATTATTTAGTTTGTTTTATATAAATACATATATTTAATACATCACCAGTTGCCGTTGATTGTTCACTTGTTTACATTACTTGCTGAGATAACTTATATATATATATATATATATATATATATATATATATATTATATAACTGAGATAAATATAATGGGTGCTTGTAAAAGTACCAGCATGTATACATGTACATCAAAAGCTGGAACAATGATGCTAGTTGATGTCATTGTTTAAAGAGACACAAAAACAGAAGAGCTCAAGGAAAATCCATACTTATAAATAATATTTGATTTCTCACTGAATGTGAGCTAAAATACAATTTCACCATACGTTTGAAGACAAATTCACAAGTTTTTATTCTTCTCCTATGAGGAGACCGAGGGAATCTTAAGACATATTGATGCCAGATGAAAGTTTCTTAAAGGTACATTATGAGATTCTCTGTAGATTAATCAGTGGTTTATTTGTAAATGACCTTGAAATATATACGTTAAGAATATATTTGTAGATTGTAGAAGAATTAACAGTATCCTGTTATGTAAAGTTGTCACAGAGGGCGCTGTGGTGCTTTTTTTGTTTGGAACAAGCCAGTATTGTGATTAAAACACTCCCTTTATGTGATCCATTATGATTCATTTCCGCAAATCGGTTCCTTTGAACAGTTCGGTTCATGGCTCATTACGAATCGGACATGTTATATGGTTCTACTCTGGACCCGTACGGATCAAGTATACCCGGCTGCAGCCTGCAGATCGGGGCGGGGCTGCACGTGTCGCTCCGCCCCATACCTACTCTGATTGGTTTGATGGTTTGATTGTCTTTGATAGGCATGCATGATAGGAAATGTGTGCGTAGTTGGTGTAGGATGGAGTATATTGTTTAAAAAGCTAAAAATGCTGTGCAGTTTTAGCCTTCATTATAATGCACAGTTGTTTATTGTAAACTTGACTCACTATGTCTGTTTTATTGAATCACGAGATGTTAGCTGCTGCAAGTTTATCTTCTGGAGAGATTCGGATTCGTGAACGAATCATTTAGATGTTTTTCTAACAGGTTCAACTCATTCCTTGAAAAGATTCGACTCAAAAACGATTCATTCATGAATCGGACTTCGCTAGTGTAACGTTATGCCGAGTTCACACTGCACGATTTTAGCCCGATTTTTCACTCGCCGACAGGTTTTGCGAAATCGCCGACAAATGCCCGAAATCGGAGGCAAATCGGTGCTCGTTCACGCGAGTGACAATCACGCAGTGTGAATTATCAAAGACGCGATCTGAGGAAATCACCAACACGTCGCCGACGCCCGCAAAATATTTGTCATGCTAAATATCTGGAGCTGTCAGCGATTCACAATCACGCAGTGTGCAGTGATTTCTGACTGAAAAACACATTGGCGATGACCAACAGCCAATGAGAGACCAAGATACAGGGCCGAGGGAAGTTCGGGGAGGAGTTATAGACCAGAATATCAGTATTTTAATAGATATATGAACAATTATATCCGGTTGCCGAGGCGCTGCACGAGACGGTCGCTTGGGGTGACGCATGCGAGCCGAGGCGTTTAGAGAGCGAGTCAATGGAATTTTCTCCTTTTCTCTCGCTGTCTCCGGGCCATGTGCAAGCGCTCGAAGAGCGCTACGGGGATCCCGATTTCTTTGGCCTATGAGGCGCGTGGCTTGACTTCGCCTCTAGGGGTGCGTGCTCATTCTACAAGAGCAGTGGCTTCTTCTCAGGCCTTCTTTAAAGGGTCTTCGTCAGAAGATGTTTGTGCTGCGGCAGGATGGTCCTCTCCTAGCATATTTATCAAGTTTTATAGTCTGGACGTAGGGATGGCTCCTGGCTCCCGGGTCTTATCCGCTTGAGCAGACGCTTTCCTTGGTCTTCTAGCTATCTAAGGTTTGGTTCCCCGAGTAGGGGAACGAGATGCTGCGATGCTCGGCCGTTCCGTAACTTGATAGCGCTTCCTTTGTAAATCAGTGAAATCTGATGAAAATAGCGCGCAGCACGCTATATAGCTCACCTACCGTGCGCTTTGGGGGCGGTGCTAAGCGCTTTTTGGCCAATGAATTGGCGTGATGGTAGAAGGGCTTCAGACATTCGTCACACCGAAGGTGTTCCCAAAGCGATGACGTCATCGACCAAATCGTCTCTCGAGTCGGATTGTGTTTCCTGCAGTGAGTGAAAAGCAAAGAGTTATGCAACACGCAATCAACTGGACAATTATTATTATTATTACTTATTATGTTAATCCGTCTTTAGCGTTTTTGGAGTGACCGCGGAAATTAATTAAGATAATTAAGATAGAATTTTCATATGTGTGTGTGTGTGTGTGTGTGTGTATAACAGTCGTTAGTAATAGTAGAATGTAAATAAGGAGAAAATTGTTAAAGGGGTCATATGATGCGATTTCATTTTTTCCTTTCTCTTTGGAGTGTTACAAGCTCTTGGTGCATAAAGAAGATCTGTAAAGTTGCAAAGACTAAAGTCTCAAATCCAAAGAGATATTCTTTATAAAAGTTAAGAGTTAGCCACACCTACCTAAAACGGCTCGTTCGAACACGCCCCCACATATCTACCACACTATGTGGGAAGATTTGCATAACACCGCCCAAATGTTCAAGCAAAGAAAGAAGGCGTAACTTTTATCCTCGCTGTAGTATTGTTGTTGCCGCCACCGCAACCGCATAAACACATTTCATTACATCAAATACACAAAATAATGTTCTTTTTAGCAGCATCATATGACCCCTTTAAAGCGCGTGTAATCGCGTGTTTAAAGCAACCGCCCTCTTTTTTTCTGGACTGGACTGAGCTTGATATTAGACTCTTGCATCCATCAACCAGCTGACGAACATCTAGGTTTTATTAGACCTGTCAGTTCTTATCATGGGCAGTTTATATCTCTCTAGAGGTCGGTGTATTCTCCGGCAGGTGTTTTTTGGCCTACCCAGCATGCTGCAGCGGCCGTGCAGCCTCGATGTGTCAGCGCAGCTCCTGCGGACTCGAGCCTTCATAGATGGGCGCTGGGTCTCCGCTGCATCCACGTTCCCCGTGTTAGACCCAGCCACGGGAGAAGAGATCGCGAAGGTGTCAGACTGCGGTACAATGGAAGCTCAAGACGCTGTCAATGCTGCATACAAAGCGTTTCACCTGTGGAAGAATCACACAGCCAAGGTGAGATGAGGGGAATGTTTTTAATGTGCATGACTGTTATTCATATCTCCATGCATTAGATCTAATTTTTAACTGGAATGTACTAAGCATATTTACAATATGCCATATATTTACTACAGTTTCAAAAACGTTCTGGGGTGGTACATCTGATATCGGATGGTATGCCATAGTGCTTTGATTTTTATACCAGGGTATTTACATGGCACTCAAAGGTACTTGAGCAAAATCTTAGTATTACATTCTTATGACTATAGCTAAAGTTCTACAATCGATCACTTTTTAGTATATAGTTTTTTTCCTGAAATAAACAAAATTCTGTATGTTTTGTAATTTAAGTCCATTTACATAGTGCTGTTTTACATTGTGAACATTGTGATTATCTTCATGACAATTAAGTTTCCCCTCTCAATTATCATTAATGTAATGTGAAAAAATAATTTGAACGAATTACAATTCATTACAATTTGAATAAAATGGTAAGTATTCAAGATAAATTAACTGAAATAAAATGATAAACAAATACTTATATAAGTATTTATTTAAATGATAAAGTATTTATTCCTCATGTTCAGAAGTTATGATATACAAATGAATGCACGCTCTTTGCAGGAAAAGCATTTCTTTACAGAAATGGTTTGATCTGAATAATACTTTTATTTAGCAAGGATGCATTAAATAAATAAAAAATGACAAAAATGCTTTGAAGTTACAAAAAAAACAAAACGATTTTAAATAAATACTGTTCTTTTGAACGTTCTATTCATCAAAGAATACTGAAAAAATAGTTTTCCACCAAAATATTAAGGGGTACAACTGTTTATGAAATTACAATGAAATGAAATTAAAAAATGTAATTATTTAAATGAAAAAGTATTTAATCATTATGTTCAGAAGTTCTGATATATATATTAATACGTGCTCTTTTGCAGGAAAGAAGCATTTTATTACGAAAATGGTTTGATCTGATTAATCAGCACAAGGAAGATCTTGCCAAGTTGATCACAGCAGAGTGTGTAGGTATTCTGACCCATTACATACAGGATACAACATCTAATGTTTCTGTTTACAAGGATTCAGATATTAGAATTGGTTATAACTCAAATGTGTGTACAGGGGAAGCCCATGAAGGAGTCTATTGGTGAGATGACATACTCTGCCTCCTTCCTGGAGTGGTTTTCTGAAGAGGCCAGACGTGTGTATGGAGATATTGTCGCACCTTCAGCCAAGGACCGCAAAATCCTGTTACTCAAGCAGCCGGTGGGAGTGGCTTCCATCATTACACCTGTGAGACTTCCTCCTTCATTCTGATAACATAACACCATCAGGCTATAGGGTCAATGAGCTAAAGTAAAACTGTCAGCTCCCAGTTATGATTTCAAATTTTCCCTTTTCACAGTGGAATTTTCCCAGTGCCATGATCACCAGGAAGGTGGGCGCAGCACTGGCGGTGGGCTGCACTGTGGTGGTGAAGCCGGCTGAGGATACGCCTCTCTCTGCTCTGGCCCTTGCTGAGGTCTGTCTGTTTCCATGAAAGCCTGCTTAACTTGACATTCTAGCAAGACAGGCAAACTTTGTAGATTAACTACCATTCAAAAGTGTATAGTCAGTAAGATTTTTATTTTTTGAAAGAAATAATTAATCTGGGATTCATCAAATTAATTAAAAGTGACATACTTTTACATTGTTACAAAACAAAAATCTGCACAACTGATTTCAACATTGATAATTTTAAGAAATGTTTCTTGAGCACCAAATCAGCATATTAGAAGAATGATTTCTGAAGGATCATGTCACACTAAAGACTGGAGTAATGATGCTGAAAATTCAGCTTTAATTAGGAATAAATTACATTTACATTTAAAGGGGTCATATGATGTTGCTAAAAAGAACATTATTTTGTGTATTTGGTGTAATGAAATGTGTTTATGCGGTTTAAGGTTAAAAAAACACATTATTTTTCACATACTGTACATTATTGTTTCTCCTCTATGCCCCGCCTTTCTGAAACGCATAAATTTTTACAAAGCTCATCGGTCTGAAAAGTGAGGTGTGCTCTGATTGGCCAGCTATCCAGTGCGTTGTGATTGGCCGAATACCTCAAGCGTCTGACGGAAATGTTACGCCCCTACCATACTGTGCAGTGTCCCGGCCGGAGTGACGAGACAAAAACATTAAAACCCATTATAAACAAGGCATTTGTTGCATCCAGTGGGGACATAAAT